AATATTGAAATATTGAAACTAATTTTATAAATTAATAATTAAATTAATTTTATATTATGTGAAATTACATAAGGTAATTACTGATATATGTGCGTATACTCCGGAAAAAAGTATTAGCCGATCAAAATGCGAAAACATTAGAATATTGAAACTAATTTTATAAATTAATAATTAAATTAATTTTATATTATGTGAAATTACATAAGGTAATTACTGATATATGTCAAATTTTGCGTATACTGAATACACTAATTTTGTGGATCATTAACGATGGCTGTGTCATCGATCTTTAATCACAATCGATCAATCAATTTATGTTAGATTAAAAAAAGCTCTTTTAATACACAATGCTTAAATGCGGGAGTGTTGATACTTTTTAATTATATAGTTATATGAAAACCATTAGCTACCTGGTCTTCCTAGCAGTTTTCACTTCAAGTTCGATTTCCAGCATGACATCGGAAATGTATTACAGCCACAGTCAAGCTGTCAAATCATGTTAGTTTATGAAAAGATTTATATTACTGCGATATAAAAGAGATATTTTGCAAATTTTAGTCTGTATGAGCGCCCGCGCGATAAATCTTTTAATATTGAATATAAATAAATCTTTTCCATGGTACATGTTAGTTTCACCTGGTAAAACGTGAAATTTTTGTTTTCCAAGAATTGAATTAACAAATAAGGACACGATTATTTGACTATCAGAATTCTACTTACATTAGAATCACTATAGTCAACATTGACAGTGATCAAACTGCGATGTGACAGAGAGACGTTAGTTCGATCCGCTCTGTGTTCTCAAACATAATTCCGGATATTGAATATGCATGTCAACACCAATAGCATTCCAAGCATATATACAGGCCTCAATAAATGTTGCATGCTTCGTGCTTCTTAATCGTACGCGTGCCATATAGATAATTCTGGATTAAGTAGCACGTTAAAATCTTTTTTATATAGAAGCGGAAATATATACAATATCACAATATCAATCTCAAATCATCAAATATGAATACGAAATGTTTTATCAACGATCAAATATTATTTTCTATTACTATTAAATTATAAATGCTATAGACGGCTAATTCAGTATGACTTTATTTATTCTAAAGCTATTGCAATTTACAGAAATATATGTAGAAATCATTCGATTTCTGAGATGAAATATATTTTTGCTTAGCATATATTGTAGGTGCGCAATATCTTTTTTCAATTTTTGTTTTTGCTATATAGTCATATTTTTTATACTTTATTTAAAATTTGTTTGGAATGGTAAAACAATAAATTATCCCGCGATAAAAGGGTTTGGGTGTTTTTAAAAATCAAATGGAACAACGAGAAATAGCTGCAACGACACAATTTCGCATTTTTTCAAAAATAAGACAGGTGTATGATGTATCTTAGATGCTGTGACCATAGTTTTCCAGCGGTTAAAAATCGGTTTGATGATGAGGAATTTATAATATAACAGATATTATGCCTATGATGTTTTACCTAATATCATCGTAAAGTGACTGCGAGACACTTTAGGTATATGAAAGTGTGAAAAATGGTGAACAAGCCTGAAAAAAGAATTGCAACGACAAGACGGGGCAAGGCAATGGTGAAATCGTGGTGTCATATCACTTCATGGTGTGAAGTAACATGCGTGCCTGAGCCTAAAGTCATGGCCAAGAGTATCGTCAAGAACAGCGATGGATGTCCCTTGCATTGGGTTGATAATCCCACCGGGCAACCCAGACATCTTCGAATGGTTGTCTTCTTCTTATTAACTATATTGGCGGTATTATGGTGCATCCCTACCTGTCTCTATCATCGGTGAGAAAGTGTTATCATTATCAGGGATGTTTTCGATGGCCTCCGAAATGGGCTTGTACTAAAATATTGACAAATGTTTATTCGACGATCATCGCTTATTTCGTAGATTAATTTTTCTAGAAAAAATGCAATCTTAGAATTAAGATTTTTGATAAGTCTTTGATCTCGTTTCACATATTTAATTGAATGGAAAGTGGAGAAAAAAATCTTTATTTAAAAAAATTATTAAAACTGTAACCTGAAGTATAAAATCTTTTTCATAATTCTAAAAAAACTGCAGAAAAATTGTAATACAGGATGATTTAAATAGATATTTATATAAAAAATTTACATATGATATATATATTTTAAAACCGATTTCTTTTGATATAAAATTGATAGCAGCAGTTATATGTTTTCCATAATTACAAATAATTACATTATGCGCACATATATTTTTTCGTTGTTAATTCAATTCTCATCATCGTATCTCATATTTTCAATATACATGATTATAATATTGAAAAATTCTATGCATCCGAAAGTGATCACCGCACATTCTATTTTAGTATTCAAAAGAATCACATTTGTCGCATATTACGCATATCATAAAGCGTATTGTATTCTCTTTAACTTTATTTCAACATTACAGTATTTTACAATATTTATCACTGAAATATATTAATTTTTCTTTAGTAATAGATGCTATATGTGATATTATTCTTTTTTTTAATGGCGAATTTCTTAACATAATTATATTAATTTACATTTTACCTCAAAAATATGAGATATCTTTAAGATATATAAATATTTTACAATGTGCGTGTGTAAAATTTATTTATTTAAGTTAATTAATGAACACTTGATTATTATAGTAATAATATGATATGCACGAATTATATTTAATGACAAAATTATATAATTTATTAAATCCTGCCACGTCGATCTTGCATATAAAAAATATATTAAGAGATAAGTTAGGGGTGGTATTCAATAGACAAGCCGTTCTGCAAAATTTTAAATTAAACAGATTAAAATATACAGTAAAGTATTAAAAATTATGATTTTTATAAAGCAATATCACATTGTTCGGCGATAGAGCACGATTTGTATAACGAGATATTAACACGACTCGATCATTATTGTGTTCGCAGGATCTCCGAGACTGGCCAGGCTGTAGTGTTGACGTTGGTGGACACCGCGACGGCGGAATTGCAGAATCTGGCCGAGCCGAAGATCGACCGTGAGTTTTCCTCGAGATCGTCCATCAAGAATTCCTCGATATTGAACGGTGACGAAATCAGACAAACCGAGCACATAAAAGAGATCGTTGAGCCGACGACGCAAATCCAACCGCTGATTGTTGATGAGACGACGGCGACGACGGAACGACCGAATGACACGGAGGCTCTCGAGGACGACGAGGAAGTGCTTCTGCTGAAAAAGATATCCGCCGAGGAGGCGCCGGAGGTCGTGGTGATCGTTAGAGCGGAGCAGAAAGTCAACACGGATGAGTTGGAATTGAGATTCGAGGAGGAGGTCGGCCAAGTTCAGGTGTCCGAAGAGTTGTCCTCAAAGGTCGACGACACATTTACTACGGCATCGGAATTGAATGATACGGCGGCCAGAGCACAATTGATTAGTGGTAGTAGAGATGAAACTGTAGCAGTGATCTTAGACGGGCTCGTTACTTCAGGCCCTTCCGATCCGCATGAGGATATACCATCCTTCAGCGAATGGGCACAGAAGCGTTTGGAGGAGGCCGAGAAGAAGAAAAGTAAGTATTTTTTTCTTTTATTATCAAAAAATTGATAAATGTTATATTTATTATAATGCATTGCATTAAATTAGATACAATTGCATTACATTCAATTGCACATTTTATTTATGATCATTCTTTTATTTATTTCACAGCTCATCCAAATGCCTCCGTGCAGACTCCAGGTAGTCCAGGACGAAGCGTAAGCGGTATGAAGATTCGTTCCAAGAATTACGCCTCTCCCGACTGCGGTGCCAAAATCGTCGCAGCCAATCCCGAAGCGAATAGCGCCAAAAATGTTTTGGTGTCCACACGGGACGAGTACATGCTGAACGCCTGTACATCGCGTATCTGGTTCGTTGTTGAGCTCTGCGAGGCAATCCAGGCGAAAAAGATTGAGCTGGCAAATTTCGAGCTCTTCAGTTCGTCACCGAAAGATTTCTCCGTGTATGTGAGCGATCGTTTTCCCACTAAAGATTGGAGTCCAGTCGGTCAGTTCACTGCTAAGGACGTGAAGGATATTCAGAGCTTTGTTCTGCATCCTCACTTCTTTGGTAAATTCATCAAGGTTGAGCTACAATCGCATTATGGCTCGGAACATTTCTGTCCCGTTTCGTTGTTTCGCGCTTACGGTACCAGCGAGTTCGAAGTGTTGGAAACCGAGACGGAGAATCAGATTCTACAAGAGACGAGAACGGAGAATGACGATGACGAGGATAGCGACGAGGAGGAGCTATTGGACAGTGAAAGTGGTAATCCACCAAGAAACCTCTTTGGCAGCGCGCGCGATGCTGTACTAAGTATTGTGAAAAAGGCTGCAGAGGTTTTAGTGAAGTCCAGCGATCTCACCGGAAACAACATCACGGAAATCCAGCAGAGTATCGATAATGGCAATATCTTGGACAACTCATATACGAGCTGCACGACGCCTAGATACACGATCCTCTGCGGTAATTGTACCGATCAAAAGTTTGCCAGCGTTTTTCAGCTGGTCAGTTGTAGAGACCGGCAGTTGAATGATTTGCTTAAGATCGATTTGGTGAACAGAACTTTGAGACGGGGAAGACTATGTAGTTTTCATGGTGTGGAGATTGAGTTGTCTTTGCGAGAAAAAGAGGAAGAAATGAATTGCAATAATACAACACGTTTCAATTTGGCGGATGATCTTCAAGCGATTTTTTTAACTTCTGTCTTTAAACCCGAATACATTGTGGCATTGTGTAATGTTCTGGCAACAAGGGACCGTAAGGTAGTGATGAACACGAGTTATGAGATTCCCGTGAATAGTTCCGAAAACGCTGCCAGAGAAAATATTTTATCTACCAAGATTACCGATCATAGTGGCGAGACCACTTCTCATCATCAAGTATCTGTCACGTGTACTTTGGATTTGAATTCTCCTGCTTGCAAGTCTGGCTCGTTTTCTGGCAAAGAGCTCCGACAACAACGTTTGTTAGTTCAGGATATTAACGAGGAAACCGAGGATATCAGCTCTGCCTCCATAAAGACTTCTGCTAGCATAGACAGTCTGGCATCGCAGATCAAACCCACGAAGACACTCAGTAAGGAGGATATGAAGAAAGAATCTTCCGTACCGATCTTGGAACCCAGTAAGGAGCACACGGATGAGACATTGCAGCCAGAAGTGCTGACGACTGTTCCGCCACCGTCTAATCCGACGCCAACATTGAAAATCGTCGAAGAGTTGCCGGTTCTGGGAACTTCTGTCGAGATGACATCAAAAACTATAAGTAGCAGTCTGTCGATGAATTCGCTTGAGAATCAAGAAACGGGTGATACCCTCATGCTTGATACGGAAAATGCCGAAACTATTGTACAAATCAAAACAAACAAATCAGAAAATGGCGAGCAAGATGGGAAACAGGTGAAAGATCTGGGCGAGCAAGAAGTTCGATTGTCGTCTCAAGATCACCTTACGCTGGATACATTATTTTCCGATTTGAAAGATTTGGAGGGTGACACAGTTAACATGCAGAATGGGGCGTCTAGCTCTTCATCAATGGCTCAACCTACAGCAAGTGCTGCGCCTCAGAAGGAGTCCGTTTTTCTTCGATTGTCCAACAGAATCAAGGTAAGAAAGTCTTCGAATGGTTGTCTTCTACTTAACTATATTGGCGGTATTATGGTGCATCCCTACCTGTCTCTATCATCGGTGAGAAAGTGTTATCATTATCAGGGATGTTTTCGATGGCCTCCGAAATGGGCTTGTACTAAAATATTGACAAATGTTTATTCGACGATCATCGCTTATTTCGTAGATTAATTTTTCTAGAAAAAATGCAATCTTAGAATTAAGATTTTTGATAAGTCTTTGATCTCGTTTCACATATTTAATTGAATGGAAAGTGGAGAAAAAAATCTTTATTTAAAAAAATTATTAAAACTGTAACCTGAAGTATAAAATCTTTTTCATAATTCTAAAAAAACTGCAGAAAAATTGTAATACAGGATGATTTAAATAGATATTTATATAAAAAATTTACATATGATATATATATTTTAAAACCGATTTCTTTTGATATAAAATTGATTGCAGCAGTTATATGTTTTCCATAATTACAAATAATTACATTATGCGCACATATATTTTTTCGTTGTTAATTCAATTCTCATCATCGTATCTCATATTTTCAATATACATGATTATAATATTGAAAAATTCTATGCATCCGAAAGTGATCACCGCACATTCTATTTTAGTATTCAAAAGAATCACATTTGTCGCATATTACGCATATCATAAAGCGTATTGTATTCTCTTTAACTTTATTTCAACATTACAGTATTTTACAATATTTATCACTGAAATATATTAATTTTTCTTTAGTAATAGATGCTATATGTGATATTATTCTTTTTTTTAATGGCGAATTTCTTAACATAATTATATTAATTTACATTTTACCTCAAAAATATGAGATATCTTTAAGATATATAAATATCTTACAATGTGCGTGTGTAAAATTTATTTATTTAAGTTAATTAATGAACACTTGATTATTATAGTAATAATATGATATGCACGAATTATATTTAATGACAAAATTATATAATTTATTAAATCCTGCCACGTCGATCTTGCATATAAAAAATATATTAAGAGATAAGTTAGGGGTGGTATTCAATAGACAAGCCGTTCTGCAAAATTTCAAATTAAACAGATTAAAATATACACAACAACACACACACAGTAAAGTATTAAAAATTATGATTTTTATAAAGCAATATCACATTGTTCGGCGATAGAGCACGATTTGTATAACGAGATATTAACACGACTCGATCATTATTGTGTTCGCAGGATCTCCGAGACTGGCCAGGCTGTAGTGTTGACGTTGGTGGACACCGCGACGGCGGAATTGCAGAATCTGGCCGAGCCGAAGATCGACCGTGAGTTTTCCTCGAGATCGTCCATCAAGAATTCCTCGATATTGAACGGTGACGAAATCAGACAAACCGAGCACATAAAAGAGATCGTTGAGCCGACGACGCAAATCCAACCGCTGATTGTTGATGAGACGACGGCGACGACGGAACGACCGAATGACACGGAGGCTCTCGAGGACGACGAGGAAGTGCTTCTGCTGAAAAAGATATCCGCCGAGGAGGCGCCGGAGGTCGTGGTGATCGTTAGAGCGGAGCAGAAAGTCAACACGGATGAGTTGGAATTGAGATTCGAGGAGGAGGTCGGCCAAGTTCAGGTGTCCGAAGAGTTGTCCTCAAAGGTCGACGACACATTTACTACGGCATCGGAATTGAATGATACGGCGGCCAGAGCACAATTGATTAGTGGTAGTAGAGATGAAACTGTAGCAGTGATCTTAGACGGGCTCGTTACTTCAGGCCCTTCCGATCCGCATGAGGATATACCATCCTTCAGCGAATGGGCACAGAAGCGTTTGGAGGAGGCCGAGAAGAAGAAAAGTAAGTATTTTTTTCTTTTATTATCAAAAAATTGATAAATGTTATATTTATTATAATGCATTGCATTAAATTAGATACAATTGCATTACATTCAATTGCACATTTTATTTATGATCATTCTTTTATTTATTTCACAGCTCATCCAAATGCCTCCGTGCAGACTCCAGGTAGTCCAGGACGAAGCGTAAGCGGTATGAAGATTCGTTCCAAGAATTACGCCTCTCCCGACTGCGGTGCCAAAATCGTCGCAGCCAATCCCGAAGCGAATAGCGCCAAAAATGTTTTGGTGTCCACACGGGACGAGTACATGCTGAACGCCTGTACATCGCGTATCTGGTTCGTTGTTGAGCTCTGCGAGGCAATCCAGGCGAAAAAGATTGAGCTGGCAAATTTCGAGCTCTTCAGTTCGTCACCGAAAGATTTCTCCGTGTATGTGAGCGATCGTTTTCCCACTAAAGATTGGAGTCCAGTCGGTCAGTTCACTGCTAAGGACGTGAAGGATATTCAGAGCTTTGTTCTGCATCCTCACTTCTTTGGTAAATTCATCAAGGTTGAGCTACAATCGCATTATGGCTCGGAACATTTCTGTCCCGTTTCGTTGTTTCGCGCTTACGGTACCAGCGAGTTCGAAGTGTTGGAAACCGAGACGGAGAATCAGATTCTACAAGAGACGAGAACGGAGAATGACGATGACGAGGATAGCGACGAGGAGGAGCTATTGGACAGTGAAAGTGGTAATCCACCAAGAAACCTCTTTGGCAGCGCGCGCGATGCTGTACTAAGTATTGTGAAAAAGGCTGCAGAGGTTTTAGTGAAGTCCAGCGATCTCACCGGAAACAACATCACGGAAATCCAGCAGAGTATCGATAATGGCAATATCTTGGACAACTCATATACGAGCTGCACGACGCCTAGATACACGATCCTCTGCGGTAATTGTACCGATCAAAAGTTTGCCAGCGTTTTTCAGCTGGTCAGTTGTAGAGACCGGCAGTTGAATGATTTGCTTAAGATCGATTTGGTGAACAGAACTTTGAGACGGGGAAGACTATGTAGTTTTCATGGTGTGGAGATTGAGTTGTCTTTGCGAGAAAAAGAGGAAGAAATGAATTGCAATAATACAACACGTTTCAATTTGGCGGATGATCTTCAAGCGATTTTTTTAACTTCTGTCTTTAAACCCGAATACATTGTGGCATTGTGTAATGTTCTGGCAACAAGGGACCGTAAGGTAGTGATGAACACGAGTTATGAGATTCCCGTGAATAGTTCCGAAAACGCTGCCAGAGAAAATATTTTATCTACCAAGATTACCGATCATAGTGGCGAGACCACTTCTCATCATCAAGTATCTGTCACGTGTACTTTGGATTTGAATTCTCCTGCTTGCAAGTCTGGCTCGTTTTCTGGCAAAGAGCTCCGACAACAACGTTTGTTAGTTCAGGATATTAACGAGGAAACCGAGGATATCAGCTCTGCCTCCATAAAGACTTCTGCTAGCATAGACAGTCTGGCATCGCAGATCAAACCCACGAAGACACTCAGTAAGGAGGATATGAAGAAAGAATCTTCCGTACCGATCTTGGAACCCAGTAAGGAGCACACGGATGAGACATTGCAGCCAGAAGTGCTGACGACTGTTCCGCCACCGTCTAATCCGACGCCAACATTGAAAATCGTCGAAGAGTTGCCGGTTCTGGGAACTTCTGTCGAGATGACATCAAAAACTATAAGTAGCAGTCTGTCGATGAATTCGCTTGAGAATCAAGAAACGGGTGATACCCTCATGCTTGATACGGAAAATGCCGAAACTATTGTACAAATCAAAACAAACAAATCAGAAAATGGCGAGCAAGATGGGAAACAGGTGAAAGATCTGGGCGAGCAAGAAGTTCGATTGTCGTCTCAAGATCACCTTACGCTGGATACATTATTTTCCGATTTGAAAGATTTGGAGGGTGACACAGTTAACATGCAGAATGGGGCGTCTAGCTCTTCATCAATGGCTCAACCTACAGCAAGTGCTGCGCCTCAGAAGGAGTCCGTTTTTCTTCGATTGTCCAACAGAATCAAGGTAAGAAAGAACACTCTTCAGAAATGTTTAAAAAAGATATTTTTTACAACGAGATTATTTTAAAAAATACTGGAAAACTTGAGAAAAAATAAAAGAAAAAAGAAAGCAATATTGTGCGATTGTTTATTTATTAAAACAGTTATATACTTATATGAATTTTTTATATGAATTTTCAGGCTTTAGAAAGGAATATGTCTCTCAGTGGGCAATATCTGGAAGAATTGAGTCGTCGTTACAAAAAGCAAGTCGAAGAAATGCAGCGCTCATTGGAGCGCGCAGTAGCTGCTATGAGCGAGGAGTCTCGAAAGAGTGAGGAGCGCGAAGCGAAGAAAGTGGAGGAGATCGCTACTTTAAGAGAAGAAATCGCTATACTCTCGAAATCAGTCGAGACTCTTCTTTATGATCGTGACAGCTGGCGCAGTCGAATATCCGCAATTGTCCAGCATGCCTTATTGATTTGTTTGGAAGTCATCGTTATCATTGTGATTCTCTCTTACTGCCGTAAAGGAGATTTCGAAGAAGAGAAATTTCAGTCAGAGACAAAGAAGGAGAACACGCGTCGAAAGAGTGCGGAAAACTTTAATTCTCATGCTGCGACGAAAAAAACGAAGAAACGGCGACCTAGCGAGATCGCTTCTCACATTAGCGGCACGTATCACGAGCTGATGATCGACGATCGATCTCATGAGACAAAAAAGGAGCGAAAAAAGAAACGCAAGAAGGAAATAATCGCTACCGGAATCTACCCTAGAGTAGGAGTTAATTTCGACGCGAAGCAAGAAGCAATTCGTTACAAGAGTGTATTGAATGTGATCCCTGACGGTATGACATTGCCATCGAGAAGAGCATCGTCCATAGCATCTCTACGTTCTAAAGAATCGCAGAACTTGCCTGACAAGAGGCCAGAATCTGCGCCTGAGGCTGCCATTGGTTGGTTCGATGATCAAACAGAGAGGAGAGAACGAATCGCGCAGCCTGCATCGCCGAAAGATAAAGTCTTTAAGATAAAATCAGATTTTGAACTTGTTCGTCAAGATGATGAACTCAGCGAATCCAATTCGTCGTCAGTGATTGTGCACAGATCTGTTGAAGAATCGGCCACGATTGAGCGGAAAATCGGGGGCTCGAAAAACGGTTCGTTCAGAACCAGTGGTATCCTTAAGGGCGCGAAATTAAGTTCGCCTTCTTTCATGAAAACTGCTTTAGGCACGAGAAGTAAAAGAAAGTTCTCCTCAAACTCCATCGAGAAGTGGGAATGGAGCCAGGATTCGGAATATTCAAACAACAGGTCTTTCCCGTCCAGTCCCACGGGTTTGAAGACATTATCACAGACCATCGACGGTAGCATCAATGGTGAAGCCGCGAATGGCTTGATCGAAGAAAGCGACGAATCGAGGAGCAGTAATGTTACACCTACATCGAGCAAAAAAGAAAAAAGAAGCGCTGGTCTAAAAAAAATGGTAAGAAAGTTTTTCTGATTGAAATAGACCCACACACAGACTGAACTGGAACATTGATCTTTGCGTCGAATTGCCATATAAACTGCAGGTAGGCATTACTCGTTATCGTGTGATAAATTGAAGTAATCGATTTAAACGAGACTAAGACGAAAGTACGAAGCAAGATTGAACTGAAAAGTCTCGCGAATTTATATAATTAAATTTTAAATTACATACTCTTACATCTTTTAGAGAATCGAAGATGGATGAATGAAATATGAAAACTTTTCAAAGTTACGATGTATGAATAAGTTTTCGCCTGAGCACGATCTTACCCATCTTAGTTGTGTATAGACTAGCAAGCGGTGTGTTAATTATTTGAACTTATTAATGTTAAATTCTTTTTTTTTGCTCAAAGCTACATATAATTTGGAGAATATATCAGAACTTTAAAAGAGGCAAATGTGAAATAGCTTACATAAAATTTCTAAGTGCTACAAATCGAGACAGAAAATCATTAAGCGTGACCGCTTAAATTTCGAAAGTTTCCTCTATCACTTACATCATTTACTATGGTAGTTGTCTTTTTCGTTTATATGTGATAATACGCGGTTTCACGCACCACGATCACAGTTGTGCTTTACTTATTAGCAATAATCGTATCATACGTAATCAGTATGCATGCACGCGTTACAAAATACAAAGAAATACATAGAAGTTTGCTACGAGATATATTTAACTGCGTTATTGTCACAACCGTGAGATTACCCCACCGTTGCGAAAGATAAATAAAATGAGAGAGAAAAAGAGATTTATAAACATATATTACTTTATGTAGAATATATATTATATTGATTGGTCTTAATTGATGTAACAATATAAACTACAATGATATAGAGAACATTTCTACGCTTTTGTTTTAGATCGAATTCGAATTATTTAATAATTTTTCGTTATTAATCATCGCCAAAGAAAGAGAGAAAATGAATAAATGAAATGTTACGAGCAAAATTTTAAGACATTAACAATAGTCACATCCATTATCATATAATCAAAGAAAATTAATTTTTGTCGCCAGTGATATATATGTATATGAAATAAGGATCAAATGATAGAAAATAAGAAAAATCTCTTAATTTTGCCAATGCCATTAAATTATAAAGGCAGAGTTTATATATAGTTTTAAGTAAGATAATTCCAATTAATTTGAGTTAGTCATTTTTAGTTATGCATCGAAGGAATTGGTTGGCCGGAAAATTTCGTATGAAGAATTAACAATTAAATCTTAGCTTTCCATGTACAAAGAATCGTCTTGCTTTTATTAATTTGGTTTCTAATTTGTAGAGTTTTGGCATGGTACTTTCTAGAAATGTGCTATATATTGACTTTCAAACGAGTGTTATATTGCGAATATTTAGTTAATTTGTATGTACGTATTTGGATTACATAAAGTTTTAAATTTTGATCTCTGCCTTGTATATTGCCTCTTCGAGGCAATATTTTTATATTTTTGCTGCGAGATCTGTAGGTCAATGTTTAAAATCTTATAAGAAATTTGAAGAGATTTAGCCGCAAATATCACAAATAAACTTAGTTTTTATTACAAACAAATTACTTAATTTATTTGAATTATAAAGAAGTCATATTTTACGCATGATGACAGTATAGTTTTTGTAATTACTGAAAGATACTGAAATCACGAAAAAGAGATAACTACAATTATAAAAATGTGTAATAGTTTTCATAATTCGTTTATTTATTAAATGGCATGATATTTTTGATAAAATATTAAACTATCGTAATTTTTTCTCTTTTTTTACTCTAATAAATAAAGAAATTATAAAAGAGGTAGTAAGCTTGATTTTATTTTCATTCAAATCTTCGATTGTTATTATTGTTGATGACAACATTGCAATAGATTTACGGATGGGAATCTGCAGAAAAGCGCATCGGAATCTTCGGGTATTTTCTGTTTGCTTGATACATCTTTCATATGTGTTATTTATTTTGCTTTTCTGATAGTCCGCCGTTCTCGTCTTCCAATAATGTATTAAGTAAACTTTGTTCTGTGAAAAAAAGTAAAATTCTATAGATGTATAGATAGCGATTTCAACATTATTCATTGTTTTTTCTTTCTTCTAGAGTTTTAGATTTACATTTGCATTACGAATTTAGTGCTAAATGTAAGCCGTGTAGTTCATATAGACATATAATTCAGCAATACATGATAGCATATGTAAGATTATTTGTACATCTACGATTGTCATATAATTAAATATACTGCTAACATTTAGGGCTAAAGGTGTAAAATGTAATATGCAAACGTTTCTTTGTCGATATCTTAATTTTATTAAATGTCTATCGTCAAGGTACTTCGAAGGTTAACAATGATTGTGCCAGCATTTTTTGTATTTGATAAAGAAATGCGCTGTGATAAAATCCTCCTAAGATTTGCAAAAAGACAGAGACGAATATAAAGAAGTATAGAAAAAGAGCAGAGAAGAATACAAAATGAGAAAGTGAAATAAGGAGGAGTAATGAATCCAAAATTACTTAAAGTTTAATTGAACTTGTATCCTATTACTTTTTTAACGTGCATTTAGATATTAAAAATACTGATAGATGGAAAACTTTATATATATTTGGTATGCTTGGATAATGTGAGAGCTTTTAGTAAATATATTTTCTATGTGTAAGTTATATCTTATTACGTTATGCATGTATATTGTTAATCTAGTGACTATTTATATGCGATATTATATTGAGTAAAATACTTTAGCAATTGTATCATAATTTCTGTTTTTGAATGGAATCATCATCGTCATAATAATAATCGCAAGTTTTATATAGATTTTATGGTATGAATGTGAATGGAATAATTAACGAAAATACGGAGCTCGTTTTAAAAAATGACGCGTTATTTTTTTTTTATCAGCATGACATATATTTATTCTTTTCTTAATTTTAAGCAAAAGTACGCATCGCAATCTAATATATATTATAAC